GATTTTGGGCTCGGCCTCGTTAATTTTTTGGTCCACCAAGGCCCATTGATTGGGTCCATTTGTTTTTTCATAAAATAAATAGTTGAATTTGAAGGGCAACGCAACCCGCACCTAATCAGCACGAGTACTCTCCTTCTACTCGGGTGAGCCGAGGTCCCTTCTTCCTCCATAGCTTTCCCGCTTGATTTTCTAGGGTTTGCTGCGTCTTCAGGCATCTATTATCCGATCCTCTCATCTTCTTCACTGGTCTTCTTTTGCTCCGCCTTTGCGGTGGTTGATGAGTGAGTTCTTTTGAAAACGATCTTTTTTTCATTTCACTGTTTTTGTCATCGTTTTCACCGGAACTTCTCGCAGGTCATCCGGTTAATCTTTCGGCCGTTGAAGCTACGCCGGAGATGGATATTGATTCTGAGTTCGGAAAAATGAATATCCACTCATCGGCGTCGGGGGAGGGCACCTCGATGCAAATGGATTCTCAGGTATTGATGGAAACATATGCTCTGACCCTTCTTTGATTTCATTTGTTTTTTTTTTTTTTTTCCAAAATTTAGCTGCAGTACTGTTTGAAGTTCAGAATATGAAATGAGGAGTTGAGATTAGTCTTCTCTTCTCATGTATTGAATGTTTTATTCATTCTTATTCTAATTAGTGTCATATAATTTGATTTTTGGTGTGAAGGCAAGTGGAGATGAAAAGGAGAAGCTTATGGAGTCCATGGACAAACTAAATATTGAGGAACCTTCAACAAATTTCAAGAGAAAACCGGTTATAATTATTGTTGTTGGAATGGCAGGTAATAATATGATAAAACCCAGTTGGTTTTGTGGGAGAGGCGATTGTTTTTGTTAAATGGGTTGGAGATTTCATGTCTATGATTCTTTTCTTTGAAATTGATGTTACTAGTATGTTGATGAATGAACTTGGAAGTTGAGAAATGTTGTTGAATTTGCATTAGGGAGTGGAAAAACAACGTTTCTTCATAGGCTGGTCTGTCACACGCAAGCTTCAAACATAAGAGGTTATGTGATCAACCTCGACCCTGCTGTGCTGACCCTCCCATATGGTGCGAACATTGATATAAGAGACACTGTTCGATACAAAGAAGTGATGAAGCAGTTCAATCTTGGGCCTAATGGAGGAATTCTTACATCGCTTAACTTGTTTGCTACCAAGTTTGATGAGGTAACTCTTCTGAAATATAAGCATTTCAATATTGTGACCTATTGTTAGATGTAGATACTTAAGCTCATTAGGCTTCAATTGTACTTTTGAGAAGCTGATGCATTGCTGCTTGGACTTGTTGAGCTGGGATTATTAGTTAATATTGTGTCCAGAATTTAGTTTCTCTCATGTCTGTCAACTTGCACCTTCACATTTTTTACTTATCATTCCTGGTCAAATGTTTGATTGCTAGTTCGCTAGGTTTGACTCAACAGTTAATAGATTGCATGTCCAATTTTTGAATGTCTTTTTCTTGATTTGCATGCATGTAATGTGTGTTTGCTAATGCTGATGCTACCTTCTCTATTGATCCCTCTCTTCAAATTATTACTCATATTTTGTTTTCTCTGTGCGTTTTTATCTGTTTTCTAATTTCAGGTCGTTCAATTAATTGAGAGCCGAGCAGATCAGCTTGACTATGTTCTTATCGATACTCCTGGGCAGATTGAGATATTTACTTGGTCTGCTTCAGGAGCTATCATTACAGAAGCTTTCGCTTCAACTTTTCCTACTGTAATTACCTATGTTGTGGATACTCCTCGTTCAGCCAGTCCATCCACCTTTATGAGCAACATGCTCTACGCTTGTAGCATTCTCTACAAGACACGGTTGCCTCTTGTATTAGCATTCAACAAGGTTGATGTTGCTCAACATCAGTTTGCTTTAGA